CTTTACTTGTTTTTGGTGGAGCCACCCAAACGAGGGCATTCAACTTATATCCACGGTGCTCCATTAACTGCTTCGACAGCGAGAGCCAATGCCATTGTCAACCGATCGACCCGAGAAGACTCCACTCGCCACAGCCCACGCCTTTCAAAGCCAGTTTTCTTTCCACTGGGTACCCTGGGGGATTGGTTCAAAGTGACCAAGAGATTGGTACAAGCCAATACATTCTCTCAAGTGGATTCATGGCGATGCAATGGCCACTTGTGCACCCGTGTTTCCACCCCATAGATCTTTCTCTGAACGTGATCGTTAAGGATGCTTAATGAACAGAAAACCACTCGTTTTCACCCCATGAAAACCCATAGAGTAGCACAGCGGTGGAGGGGGCAAGTCAAGTATGTGCGAGGGAATCGAAAGATGTACATAGTTTCCAGAAAATTCTTAAGGATCAGCGATCGCATGTTGAAAGAACATCAGGCTAGAATTAAGCGTTTGAAAACGAATAAAAATCATGCGATTGGCCAAAAAGATTCTCGTAAATTTATGTTTACCAAAATAGGACTATAAATTTAAAACAATATTCAACTAAAAATCGAACTCATTAATTAACTAGCAAACTTTCGATGACGGCATCCTGCAGCTTAGTATAGTCTGCGTCTGCCTCCTCCTAGTTCTCCGTTTCGTCCCCCTGCTCCTCCTCCTCGTTTTCCTCGTTTCCCTCGTTTTGCGCCCGTTTTAGCATTCCAGTTGATGATTAGTCTGACCATTTGTATTAGATCCATGCCATAGACTACGATGAGAATAGGGCATGCGAACAGCATTACCAACCACCAAATATTGACGACAACCCCTAGTATATCTGGACGTACTGCCGGTAGCGTTCGGAGATAGTCCCAGGCCTGTTCCATCATTTCAGTAAATAATTCAATAATCGTTGGCTCTTGTTCCGGCGGTGGGTTGAACAAATTGGCAATTCGTCGATAAAACGCCATAACGAGTAACTTTCCGAAATATAGGAACAGATTTTATGGGAATATATTTTTAAATTTTATTCTCACCTCTTGACTTGTTTTTCCCCAGATCTCAGTAGGGAATAATCATCTCTCTACAGGCTAGCATGAAATTGTTTACAGTCGCCTACTTTACTCACATTTTATGATTATTCAAAACACATTTCCGAACATGAACTTCCGAACATACTTATATGGATTCCATAGTGCCATAAAGCCAAGTCCCAGTATGGAGTTTCGCGATAACCCCCACCCACCCGACCCAACAAATGCAGAAAAAAACAAATTTTGTGTGTTTATTTATCCCGAATACTCGTATATTATTATTCATTAATTGTCGAAAAGATCATCGATTTCTTCGTCTTGTTCCTGTGGACGGACACTGTTTTGGCAACGAAGAGACATTCTTTCATTATCGATTCAAATAACAGTCATTAAATAATTATCCTTAAATATTTATTAAATATTATGAATTTTGTTAATTTTTGTTGTTGTATATTTCCCTTTATAGATAAGTATATCCCCGCAGATCTTCTAACAGAAAGGGAGCATTATTTTTAGAACATTAAGATCGTTTGCTCTGCTGCCTACGTGACGAATACTGGCGGACATTGACGATCCTCCAGATACAGAACAGCACAGAACAGATGTTGGAAATCTCTCGAATGTGAGTGTTTGCTATATATAGCACTTGGCGGATGCTGCATGGGGCAATGCAATGGATGGTTCTATGGTTCAAGTACACCCCATATTTGACTCCTTTTGATCTCGACTCTTTCTAAAGCGTTTCCATATTTGCTGACAGTGCCAGCCAGCCAGCCAGCCAGCCAGACATACATATGTATGTATGTATGTATGTACATTTTATGTCATAAAAGGAAGCTGCAACCATCTCCCCCACCTTCCCACTCTCTGCTGCTGTACTCTTTTTTCCCCCCGACACTCCATCAGGGAAGCAGACCAAAAAGGAACTTGCAAAGCAGGAGCAGCAGCTGCTGCTGCAGAGCGTGAGAGAAACGAGTAAAAGAGAGCCAGGGCTATGAGAGAGAGAGAGCCTTTAGTGTGAGTCGGTCGTCCCAGCAAACCGTTTTGAGTGGAATCTTCTCCAAACTGCAGATGGCGGATGAGAGGATGAGAGGGTGATGCTCATGGTGGAAGGTAAAGATACACGCACACACAAATGCAGATAAATCCACGCCTGGAGCTCGTGCAACCGCTCACGTACCGTCGTCCGCAGGGGGTTGGGGGGAGAGGAGAGGCTATCGATACCGCCGACCGATACCGACCGGGCCGGCGGTGATGTAGAACAGGAACGGACTGTATCTGACGGACGTGACACTTAACGAGTGAAAGGTATGTAAGATACGAGTGTATGTTTCTTCAGATATGTACATATGTATGTATGTACATCTGTGCATATGTTTGTAACTGTTGTATGCTATGTACGTGCATCTGTTTGTACGTACATAAATATTTATGTATGGGGGTATGTCTTATATTCATACATATGTATGTATGTATGTACCCATGTAAATATGTATATGTACAGTATTTCGTACAGTGGTCTGTCAATAATTGAAACTTCCATACAAATTTACTCAGTTCCCAGATATTATGGCTCCCAAGAAATCCCAACTTTTTTCAAGAAATAACTTCGATTAATTTTTGGGTTTATGTAGTACATTTGCTCTCTATTTAACAAATATTTTAATAAATATAGCAGCACTAAAAAAATACGAACTGTAAACGACATACCATACTAAGAAACATTTTATTTAATTAGGTTTTGAAGATTACCCAGAAACGAAAGAGTAGATGGGGTAAATACGAATGGAATAACGGATAAATAACGGAGATATCCGCTCACTTAATGCATAATGCATGCAGATCACTTCCCTTAACCTTTAACTACATATTCTATTTCTTTTTTTCTCTATTGGTGGCATATCGTGGCCGTTCCTCTGGAGAGATCATTCACTGTACCGATCGTAAACGTGATATGTATGTACACATGAATACATCTGTATCTATGCACATGTCTTGTGCGCACTCGCAGCCGTGTTTGCGTGAGTGTGAGAGTTTTCGATATCATCCGAAAGAAGCCAAATCTGGTTTCGTGCAGAGCTCCGGATCGGGGGAACGGCCCCCATTTACGACGCGTTTCTCATGTCGAAGTTGTCCGTGGCAGCAATGACAACGCACTTAACATTTTTTTCCCTTTTACTTCTTTCACATTTTTTTGTTTTCTGTTTTTTTTTTCGGTACCTCTCTGATTAAAGTCAAAAAGTGCGCTGTTCGTTTATGGCCAGGTCGAGACAAAAATCCCGAAAAAGTCAAGACATTTTTTGTGGTTTTTTAATTAAAAATCAGCACGAAGACATCGCATGATATTTTGGGAATGGCCGCAGTAGGGATGGGGAGGGCGGGACCCAGGGCCACGAATGATTTTTTTAAGGGGCCCGAATCGTAAGACAAAACATGCGGCGGCTCAAATGCGGTTGCACTGGTAAAAAGATAAACAACAAAAATAAAACAAAATAAACAAGACCTCTGGTCTGACACTGTCATTGTAATTCGAGAGCCTGGCCATATTGGGTGGCAATTCTGGCACTCGATTGGCGAACTGACTGAATGGCTAACTGGCTGACTGACACGCTCCACGAGCCAACATATCCGATATCAGTCGGTTTGCCAAATCAAGTTTCTGGGGCATAGATGATCTGGAATATTGCAACAGCAAGCACAGATAACAGAAGATCTCGTCTTTTGCCTTACGTTGTCAGATCCTTCCAATCCACAAAAAAGTTCAGATAAAGATTTTTCAGTTGAAAATTTTACCCAAAACTTATAATTCTTTTTCTCATAATTTGAAAGATTTTGAAGCCCTATACTGGCTTGGCTTAAAATCATAATTTTGGTGAAACTTGATTGACTTTCTAGAATGTGGTCCTATTCGATATACAAATGAGATCACCTCCATAAGAGCCCGCATAGTAGAGAGAAAGAGAGCATTTCTTAAGCGACTCCCACTGAGAGAACCCAAAAATAATTTCAAGTTTTTTGCGCCTCTTACCGCATTCTGAACTCGGAATAATCAAGGTAGAAAAATGGGAGAAGGAGGTGGAGAAAACCGTACCTTAAAAAATAAAACATACACACACACTAATGCAAATATGTGTGGTTCCATTTTGGGACAAAAAAGAAAACCGAAGAAAAGCGAGAAGTGAGAAGCAAGAACAATGAGTAAATGAACAAAATGAAATTCGAAGCATTCAAAAAAAGAAGAAGAAACAGAAACCCCACACGATCCCCTCCCTGCTTTAAGCCAAGCCCTTTGAAAAGCAGCCAAGCAAGAAAAGAAGTCAAGTAATCAAAAAAGAAAGAGAATAAAGAAGAAACAGAAGCAAAAGAAGCAAAAGAAGAAGGGAATGTAAGCATACAAAACACATCTTTGGGACGAACGATAGCTTAAAGCTCGAACTGGAAATAAAGCTATTGTTATGATTTTTTTTTTGTTGTGGGACGAAGACAATATCTCCTCGACAATTGCTGCTCCAATTTTAGTTCATTCCAAGCGATCGCTTTAATTTAAGGCTTAATTCGTTTAAATAAACCAACACGCACTCCTCACGCTCGCTATTTCTCTCTCTCTCCCTCTCTCTCGCTCAAAATCCATACGCACTAACTACGCTCAAAAGCGCACTTCAAGTGAGATAAGCGTGAAAGAGCACACTCGAGTGAGAGAGAGAGAGCGCGGCTTTGAAGTTAAGCGTCGAGCGTTGAGCGATTACTTGAGCGCAGAGCGCTTCGCGCGCGAGTTTGAGTCCAGCTCGTTTTAAAATATCTCTCTCGGCTCTCTCGCTCAACAGATTCGGTTGAATTCATAGAGGAAACCTTGATACCCTCTCTTGATACCCTAAGTGCACACGCTTCGACAGCACGGAGAGCGAGCAGCTGCTACAAAAGCCAATCCCGAGCAGCGGCCCAAGCAACACTACTCAAAATCATTTTCACTTCTGCGGCGTTTGCATCTGTTTCGTCCGCCCTGCCATTCTGGTCTGTGTTTGTGGGACGTTGTCTCCCAATATATTTTTTGTTCTACGTACGTTTTTATTTTTTCGTTCTTTTGTTGCTATATTATATTTTGTTTGATTTTGCGTTTGTTTGGCTTGGACTGTCTCCAGTTTTTTTGGGTGACAGTCTAACAGACAGACAGAGAGAGGAGAGAGCGAGAGCGAGAACTTTCTGCTGCAACTCCTCTGTGGCAGCTGCTGTTCTGCCGCCGCCGCTGCTGCTGCTGCAGTTTTTTGTTTTAGTTTTTATGTGCGCGGCATTTTCAAGTTTCGTTTCTTTCTGATTTTTTAGTTGCAGCGGCTGCAACGTGACGCGCGCTTTAAACCGCCCCAAAACGCACCACCAAATCGCCGCCAACAACAATAGCAACAACAAAAACAACACCAAGGAGAAAGAAGGAGAACTGCAAAGTTTTTATTTTGTGATGCTGCTCCGCCAAAACCTGTTCTAAGTTGCCCACTGTGCGTGCGTGCATGCGTCTGTGTGTGTTTGTGTATCTCCACTGTGATTGTGCATGTGTGTGTTGGTCCGTATGCAAATTTTTTGACACGCCGACGTCGACGCCGCTGCCACCTGGCAGCTGATTTTTCCTCTGCCATAAGGAATCCAACACAACACAGCACATACACATACACAATACAGCGCCCATTCATGCAAGTACATCTGCTGGTGACAAAAACAGCAAACAGCGAGATAATACAAGCCAGAAAGCAGTTGGCAAAGCATCACATCACTCAATCAGATCAGTTGATGAGATCGAGATCGGTAGAAGGAGGAAGAACAGCAGCACCTACGGAGAAGGAGCGTGGAGAGACAACCATAATTAATCAACGGAATTCGGTGTAAGTTCCATCACTTTCACACATACACCTGAACAAAAGAGAGCAACGCAATACAATGTTCTCTTGATTTTTTGTTGCCAAAGCTTTCAAGCTGAGTTAAAGCTTAAGCTCGATTAAGCCCAAAGATATTAGGCGGTCGACGACGACCCACACGCGCAGGAAAGAGATAGCCAGCTAGCTCTTGCTCTCTGAGTTGTTGTGTAATCTGCACTCGAACAGCGATCTACCAGGAGCAGGGGTATGTGTGCAGGGGTGCCAGATTAAGCCATTCGATTTGATCCAACGGTCACCTGACCTTCTATCGGGGATATCTGTTTTAGTTCTCTGCACTTTGAGCTTTAAGCCTTAAGCTATCTGGGAATTTTATTCAATAGACTCTTCTTACGATCTTCTCCTTGACGTTTTCCCCTCATTTCTATTTCGTTCTTTAACACCATATTCCCTTATTCGTTTTCACATTCCTTTCCCATAGTTTGTTTGCCTTCTAAGCAGCTTCATTTTCTTTCTACTCCCAACGATACCTAAATATCATCATTGTTTTCCAGTAATTATTTCTCCACTTTTCTCTTCATTCTTTTCCTTCTGCTAATCAGTTTTCCACCTTCTTTCAATCATCTCATCACATGACTTTATTCATCTTTGACATGCCATCATTTCCTGCAGTTTCAAGCCTTGATTCTGAACCGTCTATCGGCTTGCCTTTAGATGTCTTGTTAGAAAACTTCACCTGTACGGGTTCGGCGACATCTATGGCACGATGATCCCCTCTCCATCATCCTACTGCCCCATCCATTTCAACGGAAATGGTCAATTTATGTGGCACAGAGGCGGCTCATTGTTTGAGCATGTGTCTCCAATCAGAAAAGACCCGAACCCAAAGCCTCTCCCCATGCCAACATCTCTCTGGTGTACCCTATTATGTGCACGCTACTCTTTGGCTTCCCAATTCTAACGATCCTCCACCTCCACGGGCCTCCCTCCTGTTCGAGCTGCATGCAAAGTTGGTGACCGAAAGTAGAAGAAGAAATCGTGGTTGGCGGCCAGCTGCCACGTTTGTGACTAGACAGCTAGAGATGGAACCGTGAGATTTAACCCAGAGGTTTCTACAAAAAATATTCAAAATTCAAGAAATTAGACACAGAAGCATATAATTGTTTTAAAATCAAAAATTAATTAATTAATTAATCAAAAAACATAAACATAAATCAGAAGAATTTCATAAAATTATCCTGCAAAATAGAAAGAGTTTTGTATGAAATAATGGTCCCAATAAACTTTAATGTTGCAAATTCTAGAATTATAAATGTCTCTAGAACTAAACTACTTGTGACAATACGTATTGCTCTTTAGACCAATTATATGATTCATTACCACTTACTTGGTGAATCACAAAAAGTAAAAAACGTGTCTATTTGCTTATGGGAAATTTTAACAGCGAATTAACGTAATTTTAAAGTGCAACGAGTCATATGGCATATGCTCCTCTCGATGGTGGCACATTGTCATCTCTAGCATGTCGCACAGGAACGCGCACACACATTCAGAGGGCCACTTCCGCTTTCTGCGGCCCAACAGCTGCTCTTTGGCTAACCAAAACCCAACCGCACAGAACTGAAACGAGCCCAAAAACCCAAACGAGTGTACAGTCAGATGCAATTATGGCCTCTGTCTGCTGCTGCTCCGAAAGCGCGATTCCAACACAGACTCCCAGTGAGAGTCGGATTCCGACTGCAATTGCAATTGCAATTTCAATTACAATTGCAGTGTTTCTGTAGTTGTTTGCTTGGTGTTTTTTTGCTGTTTGTTTTTGACGAGTATTCATGTTAAGGTTAAGCATGTTATGGCTTTCAAACACTCAAAACACTGCCTGCGACACACAGCAAACGAAAAAGTAGCAAAACAAATTGAGAAGAATGTGTGGCGCTGAGTGTTACGACTATGGCATACCCGCTAAAAGAAACCCACTTGGCAATGTAGCTTTTTCAGCCCCTAAAGGATACTTAAATACTTAAAGGACCTGAATGATGTTCACAAACACTTGCAAATACCCTTATTCTCAACGAGCAGAGTCCAAATGTTTACACGTGCCTTAACAACAAGATATCGGATACTCAGTTTCTATAAATGAATTTACACTACTTTCATGTACCCCTGTCTATCCCTATGAGTAGCCAGGGGGGTAAAAAAATGAAAAGCATTTGAGGCACGTAAATAGCATTTCATGAAAACAATTGCACAGCCTGACACTTACCCATAAACCAACCCGAAAAGTGAGGGACTATACAAATTACAATTTTTAGGGAGAAAATCTGCAGCAATCAACTGTGTCGCATGTGTCCGTGGTCTCCCCATGGCCTTGGCAATGAAAATGTTAGCGTATATAGAAATATTACATAGGAATAATGTATAGTGTTGTGTTGTGTCGACGGAGGACGGAGGGATGTGGGCGGTCTTTCATAGCCAGCGAAGCGTAGTGCAACAGAGAGAGGGAATGTCAGGGGCTGGGAACGAGGCAATTTATGTGGGAAGTGTGTGGTGCGAAAAGCGAGGAAGTGGTTAAGTGTTGGAGATGGCAAGGGGTAGTGCAACAACATGCATCATAGATTCGTAAATAATTTTTTAGATTACAAATACGAGGAATAGCATTGCATTGCAGTTTATTTTTAGAGCAGCATGCTGCATGAATTGTTCTTCAGCACTGGCTGAAAGCGAAATTGCGCTCTTACGCAACACTGCTGCGAGTTCAACAACACTGTTGAAAGCTTTCCTTAGCTCTTAGGTAAACGTGCACACTTGTAAGTCTTTTCAATAAATCTATTTAGGTTATAAATAGTCGAAGTACTTAGGAACAAAGTGGAACCATGGGGTGTAAAAATTCATAAAATTTATGGGATCATACGAGTATGTACATATGTATGTATGTATCATCCAAATTGATCGGTTTCCTATTGGCACAAAAAAAGAATCGATGACCAAAGAGACAGAATTTGAAACGATTTAGCATAATTGAGGGTCTCCAAGTGGCGCTTGGGTCAAATGCGTTGCACAAAGATCGCATGGGTGGCATCTCCAACATGCCTCAAGGTGCAATGCCCCCGTGGTAGGGGAGGAACCGAGTGTAGAAACCCAACCGAACCAGACCGAAGCGGACCGAAGCGGAGCGGTCCCAGTAGCAAGTGGCAAATGGAGCATATGGCAATTGTTGTTACTTAAATGGCGCATCAATTTCGAGTGAGAAGAGAAGAGAGAAAGAGAGAGAGAGTGAGAGTAAGAGATGTCTTTAATTGAAATTGAAACTGTCTGAAGATTCTATTAGTTGATGTTGATTTATTCGGAAATACGAGTACACATGGGCATTCGTTGGCTTCGCTTCGCTTCGCATCGCATCGCATCGTAGTACTCGTATTTCGGCAAACTTCAATGGGGAGATTTCAACTGTATTTTCAATCAGTGGAATGTACTTCTCAGATACCGGCACCCTGGAGATACACTCGATACACTAACAATATTTACTCTGTTTGTTTATCTACTTTCAGTTGATATGCATCGACCGTTGAGCAGTTACAAGAATAGAAACAAGAACCGATTGAAAGAAACGCTTGCGTAAGAGCCGTTCTTTTTTTTTTCGCTCACTTGCCAACACTGCCCAAACTCCAAAACGGGGAATACAGCAAATACATATAAGCAAAAAGGATACCCCATTACCACATAGCCCCCCGCCCCTCCTTTAAAAATTTGAGATCCAAACTGTGCCAAGATGTATAAGCTATTGGGTAGCCTGAAGAGCTACCTCAAATGGCAGGACATCCAGACAGACAACGCAGTCTTTCGACTGCACAACTCATTCACCACGGTGCTGCTGCTCACCTGCAGCCTGATCATCACCGCCACCCAGTACGTGGGCCAGCCGATCAGCTGCATCGTGAACGGTGTGCCCCCGCATGTGGTGAACACGTTCTGCTGGATCCACAGCACGTTCACCATGCCGGATGCGTTTCGCAGACAGGTAAGTGTCCAAATATGAATTGAAAAATATCTAAGAACTCTCCAAAATAAGTCTACACCATATATACTTAGATGCAAACGTTTAAACTTACAATTGTGCCTGAAGCTTTCCAGCTTTGTATTAAAAGTAGAGTCATAAAAAATCTCCAAAGTCTCCACAAGTCTACAAACGTTCTCCAATGGTTGCTTTTGTATTATTTTTATGTTTGAAGCTTAATCGATTCATCTGCAAGACATTTCTGCCACTTTACACAAGTCTCCAAATTATGAAATGGGGTTTTATGAAAACAAAACTCTAGAAATTTATAAACCAAACTTAAATACAGACAAATAATTTGTGTTTACTCTACAAACTCTACACTCTTTCTAGTAGTCTCCAATATCTTTAAGTGGTGATGTTTTTGTCACAGTTTTTGGTTAAGTCACTTTAAAATCACTGTTTTGCACGTTTCGATTACCTCTACAATGTCTCCAAAAAGAAATGTATTGTCTTATACAGTTTTTTACGTCAAAAAGTATATAAAAAATGCATAGTTCAGATGTCGTAAAAAGGTTTCCTTATAAGCTCTAAAAGCTCTTTAAAATCTATTATTTTCGCCAAATTCCTGCTTTGTGGTCAGGTCTCAAGAAAAGCAGTACTCTAAGTACGTTCTGAGCATCTTTACAAAGATAACAAAGATCTTTAACAGATTGCTTAAAGGATCCTTAATTTCTAAAGAAGTTTTCTCGTGTGCATATTTCCGCTTGTTCCCTGAATTCAGACCGTAAATAGAACTTCCTGTGCGCTTCCAGCACAATAGATGGGTGGATGGGATTCTTCGTTGATGCCTGGCAAATGCTCCTTTCAGAGTCTGCCTCTAGTGTCTGTCTATCTGCCATGGCAGTGAATTTGCCCGCTTTATTTTTTGTACGCGGAACACGTCCGACCCTTGGCTGGAGGTACGAGTATGAAATGGACATACCATATGTACATACGTATGTGCAATAAACACACAAAAGCACACACATAATTTATGCCCGGCCTATAAAGCAATTATAAACTGGGCGTAGTCTCGTCGTCTTCGGTTGCCTTGGGCCACGCACCGATTTTCACATTCGATCGCAAACTGAGGCAAAAAATAAAATAAAACCAAAATTGAATTCCCTCAGAGAGTCCCTTGCTCGGGGACTGGGACTTGGCTCAAATTTCATGCCAGGGCAGGAAACGGCTTCAACTGATAAACAAAAAAATTTGTTGAATTTCGTGGAAAACATTGCACAGACTCGCATTGGATTGCCCTAAAACTTATCCCGGTGGATCAAGTTACCCAAAAAAGTTCAAAAAAATTAACTGATTCACTAGCGGTTCCTGATAGACAAGGAGTGCGCTGTACAGCTCAAGCTATGCCCATGAAGATCGCTTTCGGAGCACTTGAAGTGTAGATTTCTCATCGATCTGAGAGAAAGTTTTGAGGAGAAATAACCACAGATCACGAAACAAATTTTTTATTTTTAATATAGATTTTTTGTGTTGCTTTTTACCCGCCCCCATAATAATATGCAATTGGTTTGGTTATCGTTTCCTGCAGGTTGGTCGCGAGGTGGCCCATCCCGGTGTGTCCAATGATTTTGGAGATGAGGATGCCAAGAAATACTACACCTACTACCAGTGGGTATGCTTTGTGCTCTTCTTTCAGGTGAGTAAAGAGTTGCCCAATAGTCAGACGAATACACTTTGTACTCGTACAACAAAGTCATCAACGTCAATGGCCGTCGATCGTTTGCGTATGTTGTCGTCGTGGTCTCGTTTCTCCAAACTCAACGCAACTCAACTCGAGCGAGCGAGCGAGCAATCGCTCCAATTAAGTTCAATTGAATGCGTGCCGTGCGTGGAAAAAGATACGAGATAGGGGGGAGTGCTGTGCTGAGTTGGGTGGGGGGGGCTCTTGGGTCAAAAAGTATTGCACAAAACGCGGAGAAATGTTTGAGCGGCTGTTGTGCCATGTCCAGAGCAGAGCAGAGCAGAGCACGAGCTTGTGAAATACCGAATGTAATTAATGACTTGCTAAATAGCAAACAACAACAAACAACACAAACAACAACAACAGTAACATCAATGTGTCAATTGCTTGGACAGATTTCAATAAAATGTGTTTGTAAAACATACATTCCACAGCCAATGCTCACACAAAGTTGCATGAAAAATGTGTGTGGGTGTGGGGGGAGTGGGGGGTGTTGGGAAGCTCATGCCAATGAGCAAATATGGAAATGGTATGCAAATACTTACAGTAGTTATCGGTTAAAGTGGCATTTGGAATGATTTTATTGCAAAGAATAATTTACTGATATAGAAAAATGTATATTTCGATGAGTAAGATAAGTCTCCACAAGTCTCCAAACATTGCCAAACAGTTACGTTGTATTATTTCGTGTGCTTAGAAGCCAATCAATGCACCTGCAATGCATTTCTGCCACTCTACACAAGTCTCCAAATACGACAATAATATTTGAAGATTAAAAAAAAACTATTAAGAAATTTATTGGATATGAACTCTATACAGTCTCCACTAGTCTACGCTTTATTGAGCACTTATAGAAAGTCTTCAAAGGGGGGGAATATTTATATAAAAAATAACACAATTTTTCTATAAGCTCTTTGTGAAAGATTTCTTCATATAAAGTTCTAATATATTTGTAGGCCATGGCCTGTTATACGCCCAAATTTCTGTGGAACAAATTCGAGGGCGGCCTGATGCGCATGATTGTGATGGGCCTGAACATTACGATCTGCACCCGCGAGGAGAAGGAGGCCAAGCGGGATGCCCTGCTCGATTATCTGATTAAGCACGTGAAGGTAAGTGAATTGGATACTTTCCACGTACTACTCGTATCTCAAACATATATCTCTCTCTTGCTCTCTCTCTCTCTCTCTCGAACCACTTGTAGCGCCACAAGCTGTATGCAATCAGATATTGGGCCTGCGAGGTGCTCTGCTGCGTGAACATCGTGGTGCAGATGTATCTGATGAATCGCTTCTTTGACGGCGAATTCCTGTCGTACGGCACCAACATTATGCAGCTGTCGGATGTGCCGCAGGAGCAGCGCATTGATCCGATGGTGTATGTGTTTCCCCGTGTGACCAAATGCACATTCCACAAATATGGTGCCTCCGGGTCGCTGCAGAAGCACGACTCCCTCTGCATCCTGCCCCTGAATATTGTCAACGAGAAGACATATGTGTTCATCTGGTTCTGGTTTTGGATTCTGCTCGTCCTGCTGCTCGGTCTGATGGTCTTCCGGTATGTCCCAAGCATCATCATATCCAATTCTTAGACTGTATTCTAATTTCTGTTTGAATTGCTAACAGCGCCTGCATCATCTTTATGCCCAAGTTCCGGCCACGACTGCTGAATGCCCGCAATCGGATGATACCCATGGAGATTTGTCGTTCGCTGTCCCGGAAGCTGGACATTGGTGACTGGTGGCTCATCTACATGCTGGGCCGCAATCTGGATCCCGTCATCTACAAGGATGTGATGAGCGAGTTTGCCAAGCAGGTGGAGCCTGCCAAGCACGATCGTGCCAAGTAAATTGACAGCAGTAGCAGCAGCTTACCCCTGGACACCCTTTCTGCGGAATTTCCCAACAGAATCCGCAACTGATTACCCCCCCCTTTGGACTATTAATTTTATTTAGCGCAAATCATTTTAATTGTTTGAAACCCCAGAGCACAGAACAGAACAGAACCGAACCGAACCACCTAGCCACCACACCCACACACTTCTCTCTAGTTCTGTGATTATGCTGAAACTCACCCCCCACCCCAAACTCCACTCCCACCCTTGGCCCTACTATCATATTACGTCTTATAATCAATGATCACAACTCGAATCGAATCGCATGGCAAAAACAGAAAGAGAAAAAAATGACAATCTTTTTTTTTTTTGTTTTATTTTATTTAATTTTTTTGGTTTCTTTTTTCCCAAAAAAAAAATATGAGATTTTCCCTCGGAAATGCATGTGTGTTTTTCTGCAAACAAAATCAATTTTTTTTTCCTAATTTTTAAACAAACTAATTTAATACCTAGCTTTTATTTATAAATAGAAATCATAAAAACAAGACACGAAAAATCCCCATAAAACAAATGAAAAAACAAAATCAGTAAAAATTCGATATTTTTGCATGAAATGGAGAAATTGTTTGTTCAAACGCTTCGCAGCCAACACATAAATACTGCTTTTGAGTCTTTCATAATAATAGTTTTTAGTTTTCACGGAAGCGTTTTAACAATAAAAACAACAACAACAACAAAAACAGCAAAAGAAATTATTCTAATTTTGCTGTTTATATTTTCAAATTCTTTTCTGGGGAAGAATAAAATGCGCTATGTTAAGTTTATTGTGTAGTTTTAGGCAAAAATGCAAAGGTTTTACAAACATATATGCAGAAATAATATGAAATAAAAAACTTTTTACAACTGGCGAAAAAAAAATAATATGTGGAAATTTAAATTTAATATTAGGGGTCGGTATACGGTATATTATATTTTATATACTTCACGGGATATTTCGACGTCGAAATAGACTTCGAGGTATACTAAAGGCATATAACGGTATATTTAATCAATCTTTTATATTTCATTTTTAAAGGTATATAGTAAAGGACAAAGGCTTGTTTAAAAATGAGAGGTTGTTACCGCCGCAATGAGTATAATGAGTATTTATATAAATCGACTATATACCAAAAAATAATATATCGATATCGATCGGCATAAATTTTTCTAATCGAATATTTTACATATTCGTTTCGGTGAACACATCGCCAGTTCCAGTTCCATACTCCACAAATAAGTCGTTGATATGTAGCAAATGTGTAGTTGCCAATAAAAATGGTTCATTTTTTGCTGACCTTTGCTTAAAGCTTATTTTATAAGTAATCCACTAAATGGGAGTCCTTCAAATAAGCCAGATTGTAGAAAATTTATTCATCTATCTGATAAAATGATATTTTCGGTTGTTAAAGTCCCAACTAGCTAGTAATTATAAATCGAATATCAAAATTGATGAATATGATTTTCCTCGGTATATTTTGAAAATGAGACGTTCTATTTTGGTATATTTCTGAGGGTCTGACGGTATATTTTAATCGCGGTCACACTGCCCACAGCCACACTGACAAGCGAGAAAAATAAATAATCAAAAAAACTAAATTTTTGCAACTTGGTTGCACCATAGAGCTGTCAAACGATTGATAGTTAAGTCATCGATAGTTTTGACTGTTTAAAAAAAAACAATCGATACTATCGTGATAGTATCGGGCTCAAATAATTATTAAAAAACCATTGAAAACTTTTAGGAACTTGTCCATTGTAAAAATTAGATGCTACCTGTCGATTTGCTTACAAATTTGTCATCGTATTTTATAGCAGCGAATCCAAACATGGTTTCGACTGTAGCTCGATACTATCCTGATAGTCTCAAAACCATCGATAGTAGAGGCTAGCAGCAAAATATCGATACTATCGATAGTGGCTCACAATTTAAACGCAGAAATGTGTCCTGAGAGCGTTTTGAGTGCTCTCTTTCGACTGGGTCATGGCAAGGGATGGCCCCAGTATTAAGACAGCCAAACTTTTTTTAAGGGCCTCGTAAGGACCTCACTCTGCCCCGACGGAATAAATATACCATGTTTGCGCGAAAGCACAAAGTCCCGCACGGCTAGTTATGTGGTGAGGTGGGTTTTTTTCTTGAAAGCTCTGAATTTTGTGACGTCATACGTCATACCCTTATCCTTGCGGCGGAAATTAGTCCGGAGAGCGTTTCAAAAGTTGCTCTCTTTTCAGAGGTGAAGAGAACGTTTTCGTGGTGTGAGAAACATGTATCTTTCGGGAACGCGTGTGGAATGAAGATTCATTGTTGCGTCATTTCAGCAACATGTGGAAATGAATTAGCAGCATTGTTCTGCATACCTTGGGAAAATGGATATTATAGAATAGAGATTTGTAATTACCCAATTAATACAGAACTACTCAGTCTCTGTTTTAAAGTTATTAACGAAATTTTGCAGCTCACGGGTACAAATAATAGGTATCAGAACCGGGATAAATGTATTTATAAAACACAAAACATATTCATCAATAGGTAAAAAAAACATGTCAATCTAGGATAAAATCATAAATAATGTTTCAATGGAGCTTGGAACAAAACATTTAACACCAATTAAAGAAAATATGGTATACAAAAGTCCTTACGCATAGAAGAAACTTGATTGACCAGCAACACTGACGTCACATTTAGTCAACATTTACGTTTTATGCTTTGGCTGTTTTTGTTTGAACCTTTTTATGGAAACAATGCAATAAAAAGGACTTCTGAAAACTTGCACATCTTGTAAAAAATGTATGTATCTATCGGATTAAACTATTTGTTTAGTGCTGAGAGGGCCAACTAGCTAGTAATATTAAACGGAAAATTAAATTCGAGGAACATCAACGTTGAATGTTTTGAAAAAAAACAATCGATCTTATCGTGATAGTATCGAGCTACAGTCGTTGCGCTTTTGATATGTTTGGATTGGCTGCTATAAAATACGAACACACATTTGTAAACAGGTGTAAACAGGTGGCATCTAATTTTTAAAATGGACAAGTTCCTAAAAGGTTTCAATGGTTTTTTAATAATTATTTGAGCCCGATACTATGCGCACCTTTGATAGTCGCAAAATCGTCGATAGTAGAGACTAGCAGTAAAATATCGATACTATCGATAGTGCCCTCTTTCGTTTGACACCTCTATCTTAAATAATTATTTGAAAATAATATAATTAAGGACTGCTGCCGCTGCAGCGAATATTGTGAAAACCAATGTTTTGGTCGCGCCGCGAAGTGCATTTTTTTCTGAATCGGACAAATAATAATTCGTGAAAATTTTGCCTGCATCTTCGCACACTCAGCCCCTCTCCCGATCCCCCGGTCAAGAAGCAGAAAATCAAATGTAATGTGATGTTAAGTGTGAGTGTTTCCAAAAAAAAATTAAATATAAGAATGGAAATCCATTAAAACGCCTTGGTGTGAGTGTGTGCGTTCGTGCTCGCTCGTTCGTTCGTCGCTCGTGTGTGTGTGTGTGTGATGTGCGAACGAAATAAAGAAGCAGCAAAGCAAAGAAAAAATGCCGCAGCCAAAACAGAATGAAGTCGCCAAATAAATAAACAATTACCAATTTCCCAAATCAGTTGTTAGTTGCGTGCAATGTGAAAACGGAAATGAAAAGAAGAAGTTGTGCAAGGCAAACAAATGAAACATGAAACAAGAAACAGTTCGAGAGCTCCCAAACAGAGCTCCCAGCTCCCCACACCTCACACCCTTCCAACCAGCTTATCCCTATCCCTTTCCCTATCTTGCGTGTGTGGGAGTGAACGAGAAAGCGCTTTGACCAGTTTCCAGGTTTTTGAAGGAGAATTGTAGCCGCAAAATTTCGAGCTTCTTTACATTCGTCCGTCCGTCCGTTGGTTGGTCCGTCCCAACCCTTGTTTTGTTATCCCTTTTCTTTTTTTTTGCGCTCTATGCGCCTGTGTGTGTGTGTGTGAGTTTGTGTGAGCGTCCCCATAACCTGGGAGTTAAATATTCAACCCCCAAAATTGCCCCACCCCACTGTCCAGGCAAATCACTGAGCAATAACCACCCACCCATTCAGCCATCCGCCCACTCTCACCCCCCAAGCGTCGACATTTCGCACTGGAAATTTCTTACTGGATGTTCTCAGTCTCCCTGCTCTTCTTATTCGTCTTATGCCTTCCCTGCCTCCGCCAGCTCCGCTCCAGCTCTTTGTTGTTGCTGTTGCGGGATGAAGCAGTGGAATTAACGTTGGAGACCAAAAGGCAGCGGGAGAAGGGTGCAGTAATTCAAAAACTGTCGAAATAAAACGGCTTCCTTCTCCACTTTCCTATCCCGGCCCCCACTCTTTGCCCACTCGTGTCCTCTCCTGCTTGTTCAACCACTTTGCCTCTCTCGCTCATGCTCTCTCTGGTCTCTTTCTTTTGTGCCTATTTCCGCTGCCGCTTGTTAGGTCAGCTCTGCCACCCGCTCTCACCTACACCACATCACATCCCCACTGTGTTCCCCCCTTTTGGGTCCTATTAAACTTTTGGGCTTCAAGCTCTCGCAATCCTGCCTGACTCTGTGTGGGTGTGTGTGTGTGTTGGTGTGAGTGAGGGTCGGAATGCGCATAAGTAAGGTGAAATATGAATAGGACTTTGGGCAGTGCCTGGAATTGGTGCTAGAACAAAAACATGTAAATGAAAGAAGGGGGAATATAATTGAGTGTGACACTTTCCGCTGGCATTGGCGTCGGCTTCTCGGGAATTACATTTCTACAATTTTTTTTAAATTGCGCAAATTGGCGCGTCTGCAGACGCACCACGAACGTTGTCCAACACTAGCCGCATGCAACCCTGCACGCGCAGTGTGAAAGAAGGGAGACGGAAACTGACACTCACACAAACACACGGCTCGCACACGGGGGAGCAATTTTTGTTATTATTGAACAGAAAGAACATCGCAAAAAAAAATTAATAAAAGACAGCTTCCGAAGCTGGGTGCAAAAGCGTACGGTTGGTTAAAAAGTGTGAATTGCTGCGAAAATGTAAGAGTGAGCAAACGCTGAGCTGCTCTCTCAATAAGAGCGACAGGCAGAGCCGAACAAAAAAAAATTCACTCGCGGGGGAGCAAAAAGGCAAAAAGAAGCAGTAGCACCGCAGCAGCCGCAGTCGCAGCCGAATCAAAAGCAGCGCAGCCGCCGCTAATTGTCGCGTCGCCGTCGTCGTAGTTGTTGTTGTTGCTGTTCCCAGTGTTCGTGCGCTGCGTCGCAAAAAAAGAATAATTTTTCCCCAAAGGAAAATTCGAAAAGAGAAACAAAAAGTTACTTTTTCCAAAAGTTTTCACGGGTTCGTTTTCTGTTCTCGTACGTACGTGTGGTGTGTGTTTGCTTTTGCTGGTGTGCGTGAAAGGCAAAGAACAAGGCGCTAAAAGGCGCAAAGGAGAAAAAGAGGAAGACCGAAACGAAGCGAAAGAGCAGAATGTGAAGGCGAAAGGAAAACTATTAAAAACGAACAAAAAGGTCAAAAAAAAATGTGTTAAAGAGAACCGAAAGATCCGAACCAAATGTGGATTAAAAGTGGGGAAAACTAGCATGTGTGCGTGTGTGCGGTGGGGGGAAAAGCTAAAATTAAGTTTTTGTTTTTGTTGCATTCGCGCGTGTAAGTGTGTGTGTGTGTGTGTGATGAGAGGGGATATGCATAGATGTGTGTGTTGATGTGTGAAAAATGATTTTTTTAAATCGCATTTACTATATATAAGTTCCCAATTTATCAATTAACGTTTTTGTGTTTTCTTTTGTATCCAAAATTGCAGTAATTGCACAAAAAAAGTGTAATCGAAAGGAAAGGAGAAGCAGCAGCAGCAGAAGGAAGACACAACAATAAAAACGAGAGGAAATCAATAATAATAATAACAATAAGGCAGTAAATAACAGAAGAAAGAACAGCAGAAGTGGGAGCCGTAGCGCAGCGGCCGGACCTGTGCCTGTGTGTGTGTGTGTGTGTGTGCGTGCGTGCGTGCGTGTGCGTGCATATAGCATGTAGTATTGTTGTAACAAACAAAACGAAAGGCGGCCAACAACAACATACAACAAGAAAACATAATGAAAGCAAATGAGCCAAATCAAGCAGCAGAAGCATCAGCAGCAGCCGCGTCCAACGTCGACGACGACGTAGCAGCCGCCGATGCCGCCGACGCACGGGAAGCACCGAAAACCGCATGACAAGGAAATGGAAAATTTTGTTGAAAATTCTTTGGAAAAGCGAACGAACAACGCGAATCAAAAATTAACAAGAATTCAAAGTAAATCACAGAAACAGAGCCACTAAAAAAAGAAGAAGCACCAGCCGGGCGCCGCACCAGTAACAATAAATAAAAGAAGCAGCCTAAATAAACTAAAGACGAAGACGACGACAAAGACGAAGACGAGGAAGAAGAATAAGAAACAGCAGTAGAGCAGAAGCAGAGAAGAAACAAAGCAGTGCATGAATAGGAATATAAGAAAAAGTGCAGGAAGAAGAAGCAGGAGAACCGGCAGGTTGCGCCCCCTCCCTCTCTCACCCATACCATCTCACACACACACTCTTATCACCCAACCACCAGCAGCAGCAGCAGCAGAAGCAGCTCCACCACCCATTCTCATAGCAGGAGGACTGGGGGATAATACCATGGCAAGCAGTGCAACAAATGCAGCAAGCATCAGCCGCAGCACAAGCACAAACAGTAGCAGTATCACTGCACTGCCATCACTATTCTCATCTGCATCCGCCTCCGCCGCCGCCGCTGCTGCAGCAGCCACCTCAAAGGACATGGACGGACTGATTGCCATTAATGATAGCGCATTATCGCAACAAATCGAATTTATACTACAAGATGCTCCCATGGAGCAGGATGATGACCATCAACAGCACCACCACCACCACCGGCACCACCATCACCACAACCATCAGCATCAACACCACCAGCCGCAGCCACAGTCGCAGCAGCAGCACCACCACCAGCCGCAACAGCAACAGCAGCAGCAGCAGCAACAGCATCAACAACAGCATCTGCAACCACATCATCAGCTGGTAGTAGGAGCTGGGGCTGGAGGTGGAACAGCGGCCAAGCTCCTCGAGAATAACCACCCACCGACAACAACAACCACTGCAGCAACCGCAACGGCAACCAACAGTGCTTCCGTTTCCACCTACACCACTAGCAGCAGCAGCAGCAGCAACAGCAACACCAACAGCAATAACAATCACCTGGAGGAGCATCACCACCTGATGATCCAACAGCAGCAACAGCATCTGCTTAATGGCCGGCGTGTTATCATCCAGTCGACCGGCAACAGCAGCACGGCCACAGTACTGGCCGCCAGCGACATCAAGGAGGAGGAGCTGGACGAGGAGGAGGAGGATCCCGAGCTGAACGATGAGAATCTGCAGGATATCGAGGAGGAGGCCCAGGCGGCCGAAGCCGACGAGGAGCCAGAGACGACCGCACAGCAGCATCCGCATCTTCAGACTCGCGTCAAGATCGAGGTGGAGGACGACGATATGCCCGAAGACGATGACGATGAGGAAGAGGACGAAGACGAGAACATGTCGGTGGCCCATCTCCAGCGGCAGCAACAGGCACAAGCCCAGGCCCAGGCCCAATTGGAATATCAACTGCAATCGACGCAAGCGGTCGGGGCAGGCGCCCAACAATTGGTGCAGCTGCCCGCCGGCAGTCTAATGAGCACCTCGAGTACTCGCACTATGACTGTGCCCGTCACCGAGGCGGCACTTGTCCAGCTGCAGCGCCGTCCCGTGTATATCAGCAATGCTGTGGGCGGACTGTCCGCCGGCACCACCTATGTACGAATGCCAGGAGCGGCCGTGATCAGCCGCAGTCCGATGACGGTGCTGAATGTGGTGCAACAGGCGGCGGCTCTACCCGCCACCCAATTGATCCTGCAGGCCCAGAGCCCAACGCCACAACAACAGCAGCAACAGCAGCCCCAAGTCGATCAGCAGCAGCAGCAGCAAATGGCCATTAACCAACAGCAGCAGCAGCAGACACAATCGCAATCACAGCATCCGCCACAGCAACAGCAGCAGCAGCTACAGCTATCATCCCATCCCGTGAAGCACCAACAAGCATCGCCAGCATCCAGCTCTTCCCCATGCAGCAGTAGCGGCAGCAGTGGAGCCAGCAGCACGGGGGCCACCGCCAGCTCGTCGAGCAGCTACCAGTGTATGGAGTGTGTGGAGAAATTCGAATCGAAGGAGCTGTTCGACATCCATCGCAGCGGGCATGCCAACAACATGAAGTGCGCCATCTGCAACATGGTGCTCAAGTCGCTCAAGAATTACGAGAAGCATTGCCTGCGATGCAAGCCGTACGAATGCCAGATCTGCGGCCGGGTGGTGCGCTTCCGGCCCAACTTCATCAAGCATATGCGTGTGCACACCGGCCAGCAGTCGGAGCGGCACAAGTACAAGTGCGAGGTGTGCCACAAGGAGTTCATGAGCTTTGAATACTTCAAGGTGCACAAGAAGATCCACAACGAGAATGTCAACCTCACCTGCGAGATCTGTGGCAAGGTGTTCAGTGCCCTGGCCTCGCTGCGCGGCCACTCGAAACTCCATTCGGGTGTCAAGCTGCACAAGTGAGTATTTTTTTTCCGTTTGTTTGTGTATTTACTGATTTTCCAATTTGTAATCTCGTTTTTGTGCGTCCGCTCGTCCGCTTTAGGTGCGATGTCTGCGGCAAGGGATTTGGCCAGCGCTACAACCTAAAGATCCATGCCCGCACCCATACGGGCGACTTCCCATTTGAGTGCAAAATATGCAAGAAGAAGCTCCACACACAATCCTCGCTGCAAACGCACATGCAGGTCCATCTCAGGGACCAGCCGACGGCAGTGGCCACGCAGCAGGCAAAGGCTAGCAATGCCAGTGCCAGTGGCAGTGCCAGCAGCCAGAATGTGGGGAGCACCACCAATACTAATACCAATACCACCACCACCACCACGAGCACCACCCACACCAGCAGCATCAGCGGCGGCAGCAACTCGAGCAACAGCAACAGTGCGACAAGCGCTACGGCCACAACGATCGTCAAACTGGAGCCGCCAAGCGATATGGATATGCCCAGCACTAGCACAAGCAACAGCAATCAGCTGCAACAGCAGCACCACTCTCACCACCACCAACAACAACAGCAACAGCTGCAGCAGCAGCATCATCAGCAGCAGCAGCAGCAGCACCACCACCAAATGGAATTGGACGACCATTCTGGCCTCAGTGGGGACGAGGATGTGAACTCTTCCTCGCATATTGTCAACTCAACCACCAATCGCTTGACCACCGGTGAGGACTCATCCAATGAGTCCTCAAATGCCTCGCTACTCAATCAGCCGCACTCCTCCTCATCCGCAGCTAGCATCAGCTCCTCGCATTCACCATCTATGCTGCAGCAGCAGGTGCCGCCTGCAGCATCGTCGCAGTATCTCATGTCCACGCCCTCACGGACGATTGTCATCAAGAACTACATGCAGCAACAGCAGCAACATGCACCAGCGGGACAGGGACAGCATCATCAACAGAACGCTTCTGATCAGGGTGCTGTACTCCATACGCAGGTCATCCAAAGCGGTGCAGGCACCAGCAACAGCAGCAGCAACAGCAGCAGCAATGGCAGCGGGAACGCCATCGTTAGCAATGGTGCACAGCAATTGATACGCAAGACGCCCATCATTCATCACTCAACGAGTGGCAGTGGCACACTGAGCTCCGCTTTGGCCAGCGTGGTGCAGCAACAACATACAGGAGGAGTGGGAGGTGAGTGCCTTTGGGCGCTTTCGAAGCGTGTAAATAAATGTTGTACCTTCTATTATCTTTACAGTTGGTTCGCCCGCTCAATCGCCACAGTCATCATCGTCAACGTCTTGCTCCTCCACCACTGTGCTGGTGTCAAAGGCCACGGGTGTACCCCTATCGATAGCATCTTCGGCAGCGGCGGCGGCTGCGCTGGCCGGCTCAACCATCATACGGAGCACACGCAATCATCATCATATACAGCAACAGCAGCAACAGCAGCAGCAGCATAGCAACAGCCAGAGTCAGCAGCAACAGCAGCGTGGATCAGGAGCTGGCACGCAGCAGCGCAATAACCACCGAAATCACCACCGACGTCGTCATCTTGCAGACATGGACGATGATGACGATGACGACGAGGATGAAGACGCAGCCACAGCAGCCGCTCAATTGCAGTTGCAGCGCCATGGCCAACATACGTCAATGTCCGTCAGCCCCCACCACCACCAGCAACAGCAGCAGCAGCAGCACCATCATTCGCATCAGCAGCAACAGCAGCAGCTCCATCATCATCATCATCACAATCATCATTTCGATGATGACGATGATGATGAGAAATCATCACCGTCCCTGGCCACAGCGGCCATCAAGGTGGAACCGAATCTCTATTCCTCCGGCTCCGGCGACAACTCTAACGATATGTTCATCAAAGAGGAGGTGATGTTCGAGGATTCGGCCGCCCCACATTCACCACAATCGCCGCCCAGCTCAAAGTTTCGCATCTCGAACTTTGATAGCGATCTGGTCGATCATCATGTCGATTTGAATCACTCGCTACCGCCGTATGGTAACCTGTTTGAGCCGCATTCGATACCCGATAGCATACCCGTGCAACTCTATCCGGATGATGATGATGACTTTCGGCTGGACCATAGCTCGCTGGGTGGACTGCATAATACATCGTCATCGACAACAGATGGCGACTTTATCAAAAAGGAATGGGTCTATGGCACTGGCACCAGTTCCTATGCCATGAATGGCAAATTCGATGATGACAGCGATGCCCTATGCGATGCTGCTAATTTCATATACAATTGAGAGAGTGTCGTCGTCTCGCAATTGTCGGGCAGGCCAGAGAGGAGCGACAGGAAAGGAAATAGCAACAGGATATGGAAATGGAAATGCATACGCACATTTTGGCAAGACAATTGCTTGGATATATATATATATATATATGTATATGTATATGATATATATCTCTCTCTATCCCTGGTCACCTCTTCTGTGACACCTTTTAAATGCAATCAATAACACCCAGCCCAACACACCACCACACACACACACCAACAACATAGATATACATGTATAGATTGATATATGTGTGTATGTATATGTGTATATATATATATACATGCCACACACACACACACCTCTAGATAATTTGCTATCTCCGTGTTGCGCTCGTGATGATCTTAACGTGATCTTAAGTCTAGATATGTGTAGAGTGTAGAATTTTGATATACTCTATCTCTCTCTCTCTCTTTCTGTTTTACCTTTTTTTCGCCTAACCCCCCCAACCACCCGAATTTCCTGTGTGTCGCCCTACTTCTATGTGTGTCGTCATTTTATTTAATCTCTCTCTGTCTCTCTCTGTTGTAGTTTTTTGTGCATATTGACCTCTCACTCTAAGTCGCTCACCATATATATTTCCGTCTCGCTCTCTCTGTCTGTCTTTGCTGTCACTGTCTCATTCTCTGATGTTTTGAGTATAGAGTACTCCCTCCTCCCACGAAGCCTCACAAAAGGAAAACCACTTACTTGCTCGTCTTCCTCAATGATGTGTAGTGTAAACGAGACCTGATCCTCCCCCCTCCCCCTCACCCAACTCCTTCTCCAAACCAGCCATTCTGAAATCTGCTAAAAACAAAGAAACAGGAAGAAAAATTGTATGTAAAACAATCATTTTTATTGTTATAAGGTATTTTTTATTTATATATTGAGAAATCTTTCTATATATGATTAGCGTCCAGAACGCACGATATGCAAGATATAGTAATTATACATATACTATATAGAAGCTCTATATATAATTTTGTATACGATCCAATCCTAAGTTTAATTAGTTTTTGCATTTGATCTCTAACTTCCACATAAATTTGGCTTTAATATTTGCAACCCAAAAACAAAAGAATTGTAGTTCCTGTTTAATGGCAAAGAAAACTGGAGGAAATCGTATAATGATTTTATATATACAACATATAGATTATGCGCTTAAATTGTACAGATATATGTATCTTGTATATGTGTATGTATGATGATTATGAGATGGCTTGTGGCTGGCCTTCTCTATATGGAAAGATCTCTCATTCTCGTTGTGTCACTACTAAAAAGATTGTTCAGTATTTTGATCCCAAAAAGAAAAGAAAAAAAAACAATCGAAACTGAAAGCAAAATGATCTATATATAGTACATATATATAACGAATCTGCACGCACTCTGATATGCTTTAATTTTATTCGATTCGATTTTGATTATTTGACTTACCTAAAGCGCAGTATTTGTTGGTCCTTTTATTCGAGAATCCATTAATTTTTTATTTTATTTTACAGCACACACACACATCCTAATATATAAATATTTAGTTTTTAGTGTAATTAGATCCTTTTTTTGTGTTTTTTTTTTCTTTGTATAATTTTTTTAAGAATTCAGTGCTCGATTTGTGCCGCTGCTTGTATAACAGCGCCGCTACCTTATAAACCTGTTCTAATGTGCAATCTCTCGCTTGCCCCCCTACCCCCAAATCCTACCCTCTACCCGCAAACCCTACCCTCTACCCGTCTCACACGAACCCTTAAATAGTTGCTAAGTTCTTCAGATTCACACAAATATTTATATATATATATATTCTCACATGTATGATTTGCATTAAATATATATATTATATATGTATGCGTACAGATAAACTGTAGCTAAGCGTAAGCCCCTACCCTACCCATTTGTGTGTAGTCTCATAACCTGAAAGAGCATGGTTTTAGCCCTAGCTTTACCTTAACACACGAAACTGCTTGTAAAAACATATTTAACACAAAAGAAGAACACAGACACACACACCACACCCTCCATATATACATACATAGATAGATCTTTAGCGTTAACAATTTTAATTTGCATTTACAACTTTTTTTGTTTGTTTGTGTACTCGTTTGTATTTTTCCTCCTTCGTTTGCAGAGAGACAAACAATTAAAAATAATTTAAGATAAAAAGAAAAGCAAACAGGACGCAACACATGCATATATATATATATATATATTTATATATTGAACAATGTATGTGGGATCGGAAGATGATGATGCAATAAGAGGAGTACATTAAACAGAAACTTCTATCAAAAGCATTTAATGTTAACAAAAAGAAAAAAAAGAAAATTCATAATAAATCGATATAAATTAAATACAAAAATATATATAAAGTATACAAATCTAAAGAAAAAATTAGCCAACAATTTTAAAATGTAGCTGAAGAATTTTAATTTTTTTGTTTGAAATTTGTGTTGGTTTTTGCGTAGAAGATACAAATTTGTCCCCCAATCCCCCCATTCATTTATTTTGTGCATTTTACGCTGCTGCTTTTTTGCGCATCATATTAACATAAATGTTTAATATTGGTAATTGTTGTTGCTTGCCATTTTGTTTGTTACTAAAAGAAATATATTACCAAGAACATTAAGTACACACGCACACAAACATATGCACATACACATACGTGTCTATACGTACGTATAGAGAAAAGCTCAAAGAAAAATGAAAAATAATACGCGCAAAAAGAATACGTTTTACATTTGAAACCTAACTTTATGGATTTGTCTTCCGCACGCACGTTCAAACAGTTCTTCGATTACGTTCGAATGTTGTTCGATGTATGTACAAATTGCCAATCGTAATGATATCGATCAAGCCGACGATTGACGATATCAAACGATAGCCGCTAGCTAACCCAGCCCTCCCCTCCCCCTCGCCGTTTACATTGCATTCTTTGCTGGAAGAGTGCCCAGCAAGAAATCAGAACGAGACAAGTAAAAGTGGCAGCAAAATGCCTTCAAAAATGGTGAGAACTGCCCCCTGCCTAAGTCCCGCAAACCCATAAGCCACCAACTCATTTGCCGCCAGCATTCTGAATAGAAAAATAAAACCACAGAAGAAGGAGTCCTCCAAGTCCCCCCCCCCCCTCCTGCCCGTAACAAATCTCAGTTGAACTAATGAAACAGAAGCAATTTAAAATTAAATTAAATAAAAGTTATACATTTTTGTACATTTGAAAACTGAAATAGAGTTACAAAACAAAAAGAAAAACTATTTTATATACCAAACAACAAAAAAAAGAAAAACAATCTAAAAACACCCAAAACAATGAAAACAGCAAACAAATTTGCACCACAACAACAACAACAAAACAACAAGAAAAACAAACAGCAACAAAAAAAAATGATGTAAACTTTTAACATTTAAAATCTCAACGACTGCGCACACAGCAACAAAACAAATTTTTTGGTATTATATTGAAAAGAAAACGTGAAGGAGAGAAAACCCTTACCTAAAAATAAGAAAAAACGAGAGAAACACGTAGGGGAAATTTCAGAAGAGAAGAGGCGATGGGAATGATGGAAAGCAAATAAAGTGAACTATTTTTTTAAGTGTAAACCAGGCCCGTTACACGGCTTGGGCGCCAAATTTTCTGCAATAAAAACAAACAAAAAATGAAAAGAAAATATACAAAAAAAAGAAAATATTGTAAACTTTATAGGCATATATACACACACACACATACACCCACTCACACAAACTAACACAAATAGACATACGTCACACTGGACTTATTGTTAGGCTGCTGTTACACGACACATTTTCCACCGACAGCATCGGCAAACGCATCTCATGCCCCAGATAAATCGTTGCCTTCCATATGCGAAATAGAAAAGGAGGTGTTTTAAGATGTTCATGAATGTGTGAATGCGAGAGTGGAAGCGTGATATAACCGACGTGAAAAATAATGAATTAATCGGTGGAGAAGGTATCGTTTAACAGCAGCGGTAGGAAAGAAAAAGTATGGAAGAGTTTTTGGGTATATGTAGAGGAGGGAGACAGCTTCAAAAAGCATCAACAGTCCAACCACACAAAACAAACGTATATATATTTGTATACATATTCACAGAACTTCCTCAGAGATCTGGCAAAGATTGTATGATTCTTTTTCTTTGTGAAACAATTTATAGTTTTTGTAGGCAAAAAATTGTTGGTAATTAAACACACGTACACATAGATACGAGTATATAGATATATTTTGATGTATGAATAGATATGTCTATATATTAGGACGGTAGAAGGCGGAGGGAAAAGTAGCCCCAGGCTAGGGCCCAAAACTTATTCCCCTCCTCTCTTGAAGTGGTCCTGGTCCACATACACACACACACACAGAAACACATTAAATGTCATAGTTTTTGTTTATTTTTTTTTTAACATAAATGTACCTAAAAAGCAAACAAAAGCAAAGATAAAAATAGTTAAAAAGAATTGGGTAAAACAAATCAAGAATAATTCCAATTTAAAATGATTTTTCGATTCGAAATGGAATAGAAATTTTTGGCAACTTTATATAGATTGAAGAAGATATATCCACATACTACATATGTGAATATACAGCCGCATATATTTATTTATATATTTCTATGTGTCGTCCCCCTCCCTGTGTGTAATTTTGTAAAACTCGAAATTCTTAGAAAACAAAGAAAAACAAATGAAAAATGATGGCAAGAGAATGGTATAATAGAAAAGAATTATTTTTAATGGAGGAAATGGATTTGTTAGGCACCAAATCAAGCAGAAAAGCCAATATTATTTTGTTTGTTTTACGAATTTGTTAAAAAAAATATAAAAATTTGAAAACAAAAACAAGATATACAATATAAGAAACCCAAACAAAAAACACGACTTTTTAAAGCATTTTCGAGAAATATTGAGGAGTAAAGGAATAAAACCGAAACCGAACAATTTCAATCTGAACAACAACATAAAGCCCACGAAAGTATATATATATATATAAATATAAATAAAATTAAATAAAAAAGTATATATTTAAATAAATTATGTGTAACAAAATGGTAAAGTAAATTAAACAAATCGTATTTATATACTATGAATGTCTAGTCGTATTTTCAGTATTATGTAAACCTACCCCGTTCCCACTCCCTATCCCCCACAACAACCATACTCCAGGAAAAACACAGTAAAAACTATTAAAAACAAAAAAAAAAACAAACAAACGATATATCTAGAAAGCTAAGCTAAATGAATGTGAACAAATATGAAAAACAAATTTTTGAAAATGAAAAATTAAAAAACTAAAAAAAAGATATGTGTGTAGTGTGTACAATAAAAAATAACAAAAAAAAGAAGAAAAAATTAAAAAAAAAAGAATGGTGGAAAAATGTGAAAGGGAGGAGGAAGGAAAAACAATATGGTAAACAATTTTTAGAAGCATTTTTAACACATACAAAACCCAAACTAAATGTTTACAAAAATATCGAAAGTAACGTATATGTATATATATATATATATATATATATATCACCTACATATATATATGTATATGTATATAATGCAAGTGAGAGGGGAAGGAGAAAAATTTAAACGAAATGTGTCTGTTTTTAGTGTTAGATTCGATATAAGGAAAAACCCACAATAAAACATAACAAACAAATCATATATATAGATATATATTATATACATACATCCAGAAAAATCATTAAAAACTACTAAATTAATGTGTGTAAACAGATAGAAGAAATCTATGAATATATAGCTATATATATAGATATATGTATATATACATATATTAAAACAGAGAGATGGAGTAAAGAAGGGACAGATGTGTTGGCTTTAAAAACAAAAACAAAAACGAATAACTTACATATATACATACATATATATCTGTGTATATAGTCGCGCTATATATATATATATTTTAATATTTTTAATTTTTGTGTATACTTTTTTTTGTGAATTACAAATAATACTTTGCTAAAACGACTTTAGTTTATAAACATATATATATTTTAAACACTACCATTATGATTTCTCATTTGAATCGATTTTTATTTCATATTTTAACCATAACATCAGCAAAAATATACATATATTTTTTGTCAGAATAAAATCTGTGTTTCTATTCTTTTTCTTTTCCTTTTGGTTTCGTTTCGGTCCCTGAAGAGTGAAGGTTCATATCAGCATAAATCATATGTATATCTATATATATATCTATATGTGTATCTGTGTCATCATCTATATAAATGTAAATTGTATTTGTTAAGCAACAAACAAAAACAAAACAAAAAACCAAAAACCAAAATGGAAATGGGAAAATGAAAATTGGCGCAATTTGCTCAAACATATTAAATCGAAAAAAAGTAAATTCTCTTAAACAAAAAAGAAACCATTTTCCTTTCCCTGTATTCCTCAGTTTACTATCTGTGTTGTTTTTTTTTTTTTTATTAATAGTGGAAATTTTAAAGAATTTAGTTCAACTAATGAAAAAAAACAATGTAGAAGAAGATGCAAAAACAAGGAAAGAAGCCGTAAAAACTTTCTAAATGGAAATTAATTAAACAAATACATATATTCCAATTCATGATAATGACAAAAAGAAAACAAAGCAAAAAAAAAAAAAGAAACGACTAAAATGAACCCAAAAACAATCTAGTTTTTATTGTAATTCCGTGTCTGTGTGTGTATTTCAGTAATTAATGTGAAAAACCAAAACAAAACAAAAAAACCAAAGTCTTACAATAATAACGAGAGCAACAACAACAAAAAAAGCAACCAAAAAATGGAAGAAAACCCTAACAAAAAAAATGCAAAAACCTAACGAAAAAAAAAGAAACCCCAAAAAAAAGAACACAAAAAAAAAACCCAAAAAGAAGAAGGACAAAACATAAAGAAACTAGCGAAATAAATAAAATACAAAATATTTGAAAATAAACCAAGAAAAAAGAGATGCGTGGAAAGATTTTGATTACATTTCAATGGGATTTTCTCTCTTCCTATTCCTGCATGCTATTAAACGGCTCGGTTATACGTGTGACACGGCATGCGGCAGCGTGGAGCCCCTCAATCGGTTTGCGTTTCTGCCTGGTATCCGCGCATTGGTTTTTACCAATCCAATGCGTATCCTGGGAAGTGAGTATCCAGGGAAGGGAAGTATCGACGTGTATATACGTGTATATACTCGTAGTCACATTTTAATAATCATGCGTGGGCTCACAATGTTTCGTTATGCTTTCCAAAAGCTAAAATTAAAGGTTGGTCTGGGACGCAGGAACAGTTCATCGCGATTTAGGGATGCCCGCTTGGGTGGCGGATCTGGCTCTTTTCAACTGCAATGGCAGTGTGCAGCAGGACCCACAACTGACGGCACTTGATAGTGATGTCAAAGAGGCTCAGGCCCTTCAGCCGGAGCGCAAGAAATTTGTAAAGATGAGTCAACATTAAATAGTAATGAGAAGGAAGATCTGGTGAAGATCAACTAAATTGTAAATTGATCATATTAAGTTACATTTTGAATATTAAATGGGAATGTTCATAAAAACAATATATGTACATACATATATCAAAATCGTTTGTACATTGATCTCCCCCCACCTGAATGGAAAATGCATTTTAGTATAATATTCCATGTTTATTAATTAATTCGATTCGCATAATCTTTATATAGTATAGTATACATAAATGATAGTTTAAAAAAAAACCTTTCTTTATTTATCAACTAAATCCAATTGTTCTTTCGTTCAAATTTCCAATACATATATCATATATACGATATATATGGTTGTTCCGATTTTAGGTTTAAGTTTTTGTTTTATTTGTTTTATTTAATTTTTTGTTTTGCGTTCCATACAAAAAATTCGTAGTAATAAAAATAAATTTGCAATTTTTCATGGAAGTGTTGAAGATTATCTGAATGGGAGATATTTTGTTTGGACTAAACTAAATAGATATATCTATATATATATGTGTGATCGGGTGTATATATATATAAATATATGTAAGTGTGTGTTTTGTGTGAGTGAGTGAAAGTTTTCTAATTAAATCTAAGGCTTTTGAGTGGGGGAGGGGACTCCACTGCACCCCTCTCCAATCTTTTAAATCTATCTATATTTCTAAGGCTCTTCCCTCCTGCTGGTGGGTGGCGGGACACTGCGTGGGCTGTGCGGAGGGCATGTGTGTCGCCGCAGTGCACAGCCCTCGTCGTCTCACCGCCGCCCCCAACCACCAAAAGGAACCCATCTATCCATTCTGCTGCTTCCTTTTGTTTAAGTTTAACCAACACCAAGCGATTGCACATAAAAACCCGTTGTTGCTTATAAACATAAAAAAATGAACAAAAAAAAAATACACAAATAATCCTAGGCGTAAAATTAGAGAATTTCAATTTCAATTAAATCATAAAGTAGAGTTAGTTTTTTGTTTGTAATTCAAATTCAAATCAAAATCAAATTCTGAATAAAAGCTTAGGCTTCAGACTTAGACTTAGTATAGGGACTACAATTATAATATATATAAACTCTAAGCGATTTCCTACGATTTTTATTCGTAAATCGACATTTTTGTGGTGTGTGTTTTGTTTGTTTGTTTGTTCAGTGTATCAGTACGATTGGTGGTCTTTCCTAAGTGCTAGGATTAATGCAAAAATATTTTTTTTTTTAAATCAAAGGAAATCCTTCATTTGTTAATGATTTATGGTGTGTGTGTGTGTATATATATATATATATATATATATATAGTATAGGGTGTATGGATTGGTTATAAGATACAATATGTTTCGATTATTCTTGTTGTTGGGCTTTGACTTCATTTATGAACAGCTTTAGTTTACACGCATCTCTATCTTCATCTTCTCGCACTACTTCTTACATCTATAGTTTAGGTTTTAGTTTAATTTGTATCCGCTTTTTGCCTCTTTACAATGGATTAATGGTGTGATTAAATAATAAATTACATGTGTATGTGTTTCTGTATGTTTTTCGTTTGGAAAGGCTTTAAAATTCCTTTTTCACTCCCTTCTTGTTTTTTTTTTGTTCTCTTTTGCGGTGACAAAATAAATGCCAACGTTTGCAGATTTTGTTTGTTGTTCGGTTTCTAGCTCTAAACATCTTACAAATTAGCTATATCCTAGCTATATCTCTCTCTCTATATATATGTATATATGATATATTCATGATTTTTGTATTTGTATTATTTATGTGTATGTGTGTGGGTGTGTGGTGCATCTGCTCAAAGCATTTATACAAAAAAAAAAAAAAAACTTATACACCTAAGACACCTACTTAGGGGAAAAACATTTGTTTTTCGGTTTTGTTTTTCTGTTTTGTTTTTGACTAAGAGAAGGTTTCCAATATTACAAACAATAATAATAATAATAAAAAAGGGAGAATATACAACGAAAGGTGGAATTCCATCATTAACTAAAAACGAAAATTGTTAAACAAATGTTTAAGAGTGTTAAAAAGTGAGAGCGATTTTTTGCACAGCAAAGTGTTGTTGGGATTCATCATCGACTATCGACTAAATCTAAATCTAAATCTACGCAAAAGAATATACAAAAATTGTGTAGTGCAATTTATAATCTCCAAAGATCTACCATCCCTTCTACGCTCCGATAGCTATAGCAATGGGCGGTAGGTATGGGGCTGGTGTTCTGGTGGGGCATGGGGGCAGTTTTCAGAAAACTTCAAAGTCACATGGTGGGGGAGGATCTTAGGATCTAACTACTGACAATCCACAACTCAATTGTGGACAGGCATTGGCAGCTGTCCGAGCAGATTGTTGGCAAACTGCGAATTGGTAAACTTGAAATGCCGCTTATCGTAGAACTTGAGAAGCGCCGGCGAGAATGGATGCAAATCCTTCAGATGCAGATAGTGCACCTCTGGCTCGCAGGTCGTGTGGCCGCACTCCTCGCATACGTACATCTACAGTGTCCAAAAGAGAGAACGAGATTTATTACTTGTGCTTGGGAAAGAGACGCTCGTTAGAACATTACCTTGGCGCGACGCTCTTTATACGCATACTGATGCTGGACACTGTGCACCTTCTGGCAGTGTGACTCGAGCGAGCAGCGCTGTGTGAAGCTCTTCTCGCACAGATTGCACTTGTACGGCCGGACGCCCGTGTGGGTGCGCGTGTGCCGCTTCAGATCGAAGGTATCGTTGAATCCCTTGCCACAGAACGTGCACAGGTACCGCTTGATGTCCGAGTGGCACTTCATATGCCGATTGAGCAGCCTCTGCAGCGAGAACGTTTTCATGCAAACGCGGCAAACGAACTTGCCATTGACCCCAGAATCATCACCGGCCTGGCTGGCCGATCCGGATCCACCCATGCAGAGGGCATCAGCGGAGCCATGGCTACTGGCATTGCTGCTGGCACTGCTATGATGCTGGTGCTGCTGCTGCTGCTGATGTTGCTGCTGGAGGGATTGCTGCTGCTGATGTTGCTGCTGTTGTTGTTGTTGTTGCTGGAGCGTCTGCTGCTGCTGCTGCTGGGGGGATGATTGCTGCTGCTGTTGCTGCTGGGAGTGGTGGCCGTGCTTGCTGAGATCATCAATGCAATCGATGTTGCGTATCCGGTGATGGCCACCATGGGCATTCTCCACAGCCAGTGGATTCTTGATGCCATGCCCGCCATTCACAAACTCCAGCTGTAGATCCGGCGGCAGGCCCAACTATTAAACGAAACAAAACGACATAGAAAAATGGAAATTAATGTGCGGTTCAGATCGTGGCACAGTGGCTGGGAGTGGATGGTTGGGAGGATAAATTGATTGGGAGGAATAATACGGGGTTAAAAAACAATCACAATACAACGGGGAGGATGGACACACAACAATTGGTTTCGGTTGCAGTTTGATTCTAGCTTACACGCCGCTGCAACACCTTGCTCTGACTGAGCACCGAAACGGTGGGCGATGGGGCACAGAGGCCAGCGGCCGTGGCAGCCGCCGCCGTGGCCAACGAACGTAATGTGGTGCGGTGCACCGTTCGTGTGGCTGGCACCTCCGGCGAGGGCTTCATTGTCGATACAAGGGTGATCATCGTGGAGCCATACGCCACGGCCTTGGCCCGACCACTCAGCTTGCTGCCTCCAGCTCCGTTGCTGCTCTCTCTTCCTGCTGGATCATAGTCCATGTCTGACACCTCCCCTTTTATTTCCTCCGGCTCCTCCTTGACCGTAAAGTAATCGAAATCTTTGGGAACGATTGCAATGGGCATCATTTTCCTGGACCTGCCTCTCGACAGCTTCTTTGGCTTCTTTGTCTTCAGCTGCTGCTCCTGCTGCTGCTGCTGCTGCTGCTGCTGCTGCTGCTGTTGCTCCTGCTCCTGCTGGTGCGGGGAATGTATCTGTTGCTGCTGGAGGAGGGATTGTTGTGCTTGTAAAATGGGTGAAACACTTACGCTTTGAATGAGTGGCTTCGTGTCGAGCAGGGCGGCGGCAGCCGCTGCCGCTGCATTTGCATCCATGCTGCTGTTGCTGCTGCTGCTGTTCGTACCGGAGCTGCTGCTGCTGCTCATGGGACGCGCCAAATGTACGGCTGCTGCAGCAGCAGCAGCCGCAGCGGCAGCAGCGGCCGTGGGCGATGGCAGCGACATGTTGCTGTTGTCGTGGTGGTGCAAATGGTGCGAGTGGTGAGACTGCTGCTGTTGCTGTTGGAATTGGTGGTGCGAGTGATGCTGCTGTTGCTGCTGGTGGTGTGGCTGCTGCTGTTGGGCAGCATACAGATTGTGCTGCTGGTAGGCGGCGGCATGATGCTGCTGCTGCTGCTGGTGGTGCGAGTGGTGCGACTGTTGCTGCTGCTGGCTGAGCAACTGTTGCTGCTGCTGCTGTGACATTAAAGCCGACTGCTGCTGGTAGCTGCTGTGCTGCGACTGCTGCTGTTGTTGCATCATCTGCAGGCCTCTGGTGGCATGCTGGTACGAAGGCGGCGGCTGCTGCACATGTTGCACGTGCTGCTGGACATGTTGTTGCTGCACGTGCTGTTGCTGCTGCTGCAGGTGCTGCTGCTGCTGTTGCACATGCTGCTGCTGTTGCTGTTGCTGCTGCTGCTGGGAGTTAACGCCATTGCGTGTCATATTGTGGGTCAACTGTGTGAGCAGATTCTCGTGCAGGGCATCCAACTGGGATGCTGTGCTCGCACTCTGATGGTTGCTGTGGTGATGATGATGGTGATGCTCCACGGGCGTCACCGACACCGAGTCGGGCGTCAGGGAGGGCGTCGAACCGAGCTCAAAGTCCTGCCGCGGACTGGTGGAGCCCTCGTCGTCCACACAGCTTCGCTGCAGGAACGAGCTCAGATCGACGGCATCCGAGAGCTGCTCCAGCAGATGGTCCGTCTGGGAGCTGAGCATCAGCGTGGCCGTAAACTGCAGTGGATCCACAGTGCCGTTGGGGCACTGCGAACTGGCGAGATCCGACATGATGGCGTCCTCGTAGGCGCTGGCATTGAACTGCCCGGAGCTGCCCATTGTCGCCTGGATGATGTTCTGCGCAAAGGTGCCTATATCGATCTTTGCCTCGTCGTACTCGATGTCCGGCTCGTCCTTGAGTATGATGCCGTACGCTGAAGGATTGCCACCGTAAAAAGGATGACCCATCGTTGAGTTTGGATTATGGAATTTGGAATTGGATTCGTTATAGTTAGGATTACTGGCCAGGCCACTCGCGAAGTTCAAAAGGTTATTACCATCGATACCAGCCGATGATGCTGCTCCACCACCGCCAACCGTACCTCCACCTCCACCTCCATTTGAATTTCCATTGGCATTGCCATTACCACCTCCTCCTCCTGCTCCGTTTGATCCGCAATTGATGTAGCCACCACCTCCGCCTACTCCTCCTCCACCTCCCCCGACTCCTGCTCCCGCTGACATGATGTACGCCGCCGCGGCAGCGTTTTGAATGGAAAGAAAGTTGGGATTGCCGTTGAAGGCTGCGTGGGAGCCTGCTCCGTGTCCAGCGGATGTCTGACTGCCGCCCGTATTATTGCTGGCCGTGCTCTGTTGGCCACTCTTCAGGCTCTCGTAGAATGGTGGCAGGGCCCCGGTGGGGGGAGAGTTGGGACCGTAGTTGCCTCGTCCGTCTCGGCCACCGCCCATGCCACCGCCTCCAGCTCCGCTGCCGCCTAGGGCACCCCCAAAGCCACCTCCCGGCGAACCGGCACCACCGCTGGCGTTCTGTCCGCTGCCCGAGCCGGACGAGCTGCTGCCGCTGCCAAAGCCCGACGACTGAAAGCCCTGTCCGGCTGCACCAGAGCTGCTGCTGCTACGGCCGTGACCGGCGGCTGCAGCCAAAATGCCGGGCAGGCTACGCACCAGGCGCGGATTAAGGCGCTGCGACTGGGCCAGCAGTACGCGGGCTGCCAATATCGTGTTTCGCCTGCGGGCCTCGCGCACCTGTCGCGCTCTCTCTAGGCGGCGGGCGTTCAGCTCCTCGTCGCTGTCGTAGCTGGGGCTTTGCCGCTTCGGCACGTGATAATCAATGGGCTCCTGCTGCTCCGGTCCCAGTTGGTCGAGATCGTGGGCACTGAGGGGCAATAGAACGCTCCTTTGGGGCGTCTGATGCTCCGGATGCTGATGCTGATTCTGATAATGGTGATGCGGGGAGGCAGCGTGTCCTGCTGTAGCTACTGCTGCTGCAGTGGTCTGTGGTGCGCGCTGGATTACGCTGCAGCGGACAGCGGGCGTCGGTTCCCTTGGGGGCGGTGGACTGGGACGCTCCTCTGCCGGGGGCGGGGTGCTGCGCATACGCAGCGACAGCGGCTTGTCAACGGGCAGCAGAGGCTTCTCATCCACAATCAACTTGCAACCGTCATCGGAGTCTGTGTCGGAGTCCACATCCGAGTCGTGTTCCTTTTCTTTTCTGGCTCTGACGAGGATCGGCTGCGGTTGCTCCTGCTGCTGGTGTTCCTTGGGGTACTCCTTTCGTTGGGCCTGGGTGAGGACGATGCCCGTGTTGTAGAAGCGCGGGCGGGGAGCCTCAATTCCGACGTCAACGTCGCCGTCTTCCTCCTCCTCCTCCTCTTCTTCTTCGGCCAACACTACTGATGGGCACTTTAATTGCTCATCTTCTTTGTGCGCTTTCCTATCTGGCTCTTCTTCTACATCTACATCTACTTCGCTGCTGCTACTGCTGCTGCTCCTCTCTGCCGCTGTCGACTGCGGCGTCGGCTGCTTTGGTATGCTGCTGCTGCTTGCTGTTGTTTTAGTTGTTGTTGTTGCTGTTTTTATTGGAGAATTCTCGTCGCAGTCTTTTGTGGCTAATGCGGGGGGCGTGGGTGTTGGTGTGGGCGTAGGTGTGGGTGTGGTTGTGGCTATGCTGCTGCTGGTGGTGGTTTGGTTGGTGGTGGTGCAGCTTAGGCGCTGCAACAATTCTGCCGGCCTCAAGCAACCTAATTTTTCTGCAAAAAACAAAACGAGAGAACAAACAAAAAATTAGTCAAATATTCAAAGAAAATTATACACATAAGATAATATAAAACCGATGATCCTTTTGCTATTTTACATCTAAAAATTACAACGAAAAACTGCCGAAAAAATCCACGTTGACCGTTACGCAACTGTAAAAGGAATGGGAGAATGACAAAAATCTCTTGGAAGTGATCTCCCTTTTGAGAGCAGTGTTCGCATATGAGTGAGATTGAGTGATTTCAGGAATAACTGTAACCGCGACCAGACTCCGCGACAGTGCTGCGCAGTGCACGGTGGCCCTGTTTGTTGAATAATCCACACAAATTTGGAACATAAGTTTTCCACTTTATGTCTTTTATTATTAACTATTACCTTTGCGCATTATGTGGAACAAATTATTTAATTAAAAACAAAAGACTATTTTATGCATATGCACTTCTAAATACAACTTTTAGTCCAATTTAAAGCCACGTGTTCCTATGTACGTTTCAGTGTCAAGGCAGCAAGAAATGAATAAGGTTATATGAATGCATATGTGTGGTCCAAGGTATATATAAATATGTAGTGGGACTACCACAATACCCTACCACAAAGAGCAAGCTCTCGCGAATTGCCTTTCCTTATTACTCGCATATCTTGCTCTATTCTTCCCCACTCCTTTTTCAACTACTGTTCTTCACGCCAATGGAGAGCAGCTTAAAGGTGCTCAAATTACACTCTTTCTTTTACTCACTCTCATTATTGGAGATTGGAGAGAAGTTAACGCGCAATTTCGTGTGTCCTCTTTGCTGCCGTTCTGTGAGTGAGTGAAACAGCGAGATGTGGAGGAATTAGAAGAAATGCAATGGGTACAGACTGACCAGTGATGAGCATTTCCGATGTGTGTGTGTGCCAAGGAGGTGGCTTTTGTGTGCTTAAGGTGCTTTGAATAGCCTACATATAATTAAAAATTGAAAATGGAAAAAGCAAGTGCAAGTGCGAGAAAAGACGAAACGGGCCAAGACAAGGCTAGCGACCAGCTGGCCGCAAATTTGTCTTTTGGCTTTAAATTAAAAAACAAGTGCAGTGAGAAATGGCAATAGCAACAGAAACAGCAACAGCAACAAAAGCCGCGGGCGGCATTTAACGGCTGTCATTGTTGATGGTGTTGTGGTTTTTCTGCTGCGACGTTCGTGTTTGATCAAGATCAAGGCTGCAAGTGTGTTGAGCGTGTGTGGGTAAGCTGGTTGCTGCCGGACAGCCCTTCATATTAGTTAATGTTCATATTTAGCCAAGTACCAGTTTATACCAATGTGTGTGAGTGTATGTGCACATGTATTTGTGATATTACAAATGCCAAGCACGCACAACACTGTTGCTGCCATACCATTTACGGGACGGGTCGGTGCGGAGCGGGGGCTGCTGCTGGCTCTGTTGGTCATGGCCAGGCCTGCAGCGCAGTTGCAGCGCTGTCGCATAAATTCTAACTGTCGTCACACACTTACACATACGCGCGCACATGTGATTCTATTGCATGCATACAGTGGCGGACAAAAGTCGAGGTACTACGGAGAAAACTGCATCATTAGTACACCCTTAGGGAGAATATCAGGATTTTTAAGGGGTTTGGTTTAATCAGAAAAGGAAGCTAGCATTCCTTTCTAGTTCGTCTTAAAACAGCTAGACTCTGCAGGCAGTTAAAATGGCAGTCGTACATAGACTTTTGCCCGACACTATCAATGTACATATGGGCTGCGTTTAACAGAGTTTTGCGTTGCGTTGCGCCGCGCTGCGCTGCTCTGGACGTTAACAGCCTTGGGTCGGCTCAAACGTTTAACATTTTTTGTTAATAATTTGTTTAATCTCAATTTAATTGATTGTTTGTTTTGCTGATTTTACGCGTATTTCGTTTTTGAATTGACTTCAAAATACCTGGCATGCCATTCATTTATTAATCGGTTAATAGAGACCCAGCCGTGCCCCTGGGTACGCCCCGTCACGCCTTATGCAGCAAGGCAGGCTACATATAGAAATTGATGTACATTTATGTACATGATTTTGTATATTCTTCAATTGTACTACATGTCAAGCGTCAGGCTTTTATGTTTCCCTGTCTGTCTCTCTCTCTCTCTCTATGTACAGCAATTGCTATTTTTTGACATGGTTGTGTAGATTCTACATTTTTACAGCCTTTTTCTTTTGCATACATACTTATCTATGTACATACATACATATATTTCAAAAGTAACCTTACATCTTGGCCTCTCTTTCCGTCTAGGCTTACTTGTTTCTACCCCACCCCCTTCCACCTTCTTTCGCTTACATGTTTTTGCCTCTCCCTCTTCCGCTCTGTATTGATGTTGTTGCAATTGCTTGCCATAGTTGTAATTTATTTTATTGTGTTAAGGTCAAGGCGAATTGTAAAATGCTTTTTAATTACATACATACATACATAAGCACACACACACAAATGCACAAACATGTTTTCAAGTTGAAAATGAAATGCGAATAAGGTTTTATTTTTATTTGTTTGTGTTATTTTTATCATTTTTGTGTGCTGCTGCTGCTGGCTGCCATGAGGAAATGAATTTCAATTGAAGTTTTACAAAAACAAAAAAATAAAACAAATTATTGACCTCCAGTTAGCCAGCAATTAAAACAGCATTATAAACTATATATGTACATACATACATACATACATTTGTATGTATTTACATATGTAGATAATCATTTCCAGGAGCTTAAGCCTTAAGTGATTTTCTCTCTTTGCTCTTGATTCCTCTGTGGGAGGACTTTCAGCTAAGTCTTTCGTTCTCCTGCTCTCAGGACTTCCCCCCTCTGTGGGAGCTTTCTATCCATTAATGGTCATCTTTCTGTTTCTTGTACATTTTTTTCTTGACTGAAAATCATATTTTCTTTGCTCTCATTGGCTTTATAGGCTCCCTCTGATCCCCGATGGAATGAGGAATCAGATCTGAAATTCTTCTGCAATTCGTTTCCCTCTTTATTTTTCTTTCTTTTTTTTTAAATCCATTTTGGTACTCGTTCACGCCCAAGGGTCAATGCACGTTTTATCCTTTACCGTAATTGATTTACATGCTCTTTTTGTTTTTTTTTGGTTTGTTTGTTTTTCGATTTTGTGTGGATGAACTTTTAAAATATGCCACCTCCACCGCCTGCCAGCTACCGATTTTGTCTAGCGCAAAATGCGTCGTAAAAATACGATCCACTACAAAAATCAGCAAAAAAAAAAAAAACTCAAAATAAAATAACATTATCTGCCTTCTGCTGTGTGTGCATATGTGTATATGTAAATTGTTCACGACAAAGCCAGCCCCGCCGCGTCAAAGGCAAAGCTCGCTGAAGTTGTCGTCTAGAATTCGTAATAAATTCCTTGCGCCCTCTCCCCTGCGAATTAGATCCAACCCCCAGATCTTTGATGCTATGAAATCGTAGGGAAATCGGGTAGATGAACTCGCTTAAGCTTAAACGGGGCTTGATAACACTTCAAAAGAGTAAACACACATAGTGCAAAATATCCCGTGAGCTCTGAACGATTCTTAGTGTCTTGTCTGATCTCTGGTTGTGGATATACATATGTATACCAAAATATATTTACATAGTATGTACATATGTATGCGGGTGGCACCTGAGCGAGAACTACGCCCACCCAACAGCTGTCGTTTCCATCGGCCATGGGCATTCAACTTGTTGTTTATGGAAAACTACTTAAAAAACGACAGAAACAGCAACAGCAACAGCGGGGAAGAGAGAATAATACCCCGAAGCACAACCAAAACAAAACTGAAAGCAACAACAACTAAAAAATAAATAAAATAAATAAATAAAACTAAAAGTTTCAACTTTTATTTTATATTTAATAGATTTTCAGCCACAAAAAGTTACAACAAAAGAAGAAAAACAAAAAAAAAAAAACCAGACGAAAGAGACGGAAAGATACTGTGGATGCAAAATCGAATTCCAAACGCATTCTGAGCTTATCGCATTTGGAATTCCTGTCATGCACGACGACGACGACGACGATGACGATGACGACAGTCCCCTCTTCAGTCTTCTGCTTGAAGCTGATTCTTCTTCAGGTCCCGCCATAGTCGCCCCCCCATCTTGGGGTTCTGTGTGTGTGTCTAATTGTAAATGCCAAACACGTTGACAGAGGCGGCAACGACGAACGGCAACGAACGTTGTCAAGCAGCTCTACCCATGTACATATGGGGGGTGTGGGGGGTATATATTGTATGTAAATAATGTAGCTAAGTAAATACATACATAGGTACTCGTACAGCAACAAATAAAACAATGCCCACAAACCCACCCAACCCATGTTGGAACCCCAAAAGCGTTTAAGGCTGCGTTTTAAGTTAGGGCCTCAGAAACACACACACACACACACACACACAATCTTTGTTGCATGAATAGACAATTATTATGAGAGATGATCAAGAGCGTTTAACCTCAATTTGTAGTTGTAAGAACCAACCAACCAACTGCAGAGACATGCAACAGTCAGGGGCTAGTTCTTATTTGTTTATCGTTTATTTGGTATGAAGCTTCTTACCAAATTTTCAATGTCATTTGTCTTCAGAAAATCTCCCCCAATTGAATCGGATCACCTATTTTAGGCCCTCACCCACTTGGCCAGCGAATGCAACCACCGCCCACACAACCACTGAATCACTGAACCATCATTCTATCTATCTATAAAACCCATCAAAATGTATGCTTTCGCAAATACAAAAAAAAAAAAAATAAAGAAAAAAGAAGAAGAAAAAAAACAGATTGCAAATGTCAAACAAAATTTAATAGAGCATGAAACGGCATGAAATCCATTGAAAAATAAAGAGAGGGTGATGGGGAGGGAGATGGCAATGGAGAGGGAGAGACGAGCAGAATGAGATGGAAATATATGCGAGTGCAAAGTGTCATCGATTAGCTGACAGACAGCCAATCAATTCGATTCCATTTCGATTCGATTCCATTCGATGCGATACGA